AACACTTAGGATTTTTAGGGAAAAAGGACATTAAGTATTAAAGTGATATCTTAAAGATATATCTGAATCTAATGGGTACTTTGACCTATCGTAATACAAAGTAGTGAAGACAAAAAAAAGAGGGAAAGATATGGGACATGAAGGAGGCAGGTGTCCAAAGCATGTAAGTCTAACTATTTGGAACTATCTCTCATCCTGTGCCTTAAAAAATGGGAAGAATATACTGTAAATTATTAATTAATTGAGGAAATGTCATAGAGGCATGGCAACATCAAAACTTAATGCCCCAGTAGACCATTCATGATCACCTAAAATTGAACTGAAGTTATGCTCGATATTGAAATAAAGAAGCAAAGCCGGTATATGAATCATGTACTTAGATCCTTGTATGACCTTCCAGGTCAGTGTTCTCAAATGTGACCTTCTGTTAGCTGTATTTTAAAATGGGAATGTTTTTTAAGTTAAAAAATACAAGAATGATAATAAAGGATTCTTGAGAACCAACCTAGACTTAACTGAATCAGAATCATAAGAGGTAAGACCTGTTATCCACTCACATCCCCCAAAACACACATTCCACCCATAAAGGAGCTCATAATGTTCCAACATAGTCAGTCTAACCATTGGTATTTGACGTTACAGGGCTCATCCTAATTATGCCAATTCTTTCTGCGATAGATGTACCTTACAACTAGAATCTTACACATCTAGTTCAATGGTTCCTAATCTTGGCTGCACATTATAATTACCTGGAGAGCTTTATAAATCCTGATGCCCAAGCTTCTTCCCAGAGCAATCACATCAGAATCACCAAGCATGGTACCCAAATATTTGTAATTTTTAAAGCTTCCCAAATGAGTGCAGCACGCAGTTAAATTTGAGACCGTTGATGTGTAGATAACATCTTGTATTTTTTTCATCTTTTCTAATACACAGTTATATATCTCAAAACCAAAAACACTGCCTGGGAGGGATGTAGGCCAACCATGATTGCCCCACTTTGATAGAACACAAAACTGAGGCTGACTATTTTGGGCCACACTTTAATAACTTCTTCTGGTTGAATTTTATGTTTATTATCTTAATTTCTAAAAATAAATAAATAAAAGCCCCCAATCCATGCAATGTAGGTATCATTATCCTAGTTTGTAGAGACAAGAACACACAGCCCACAGAATCAGAGGGAGCTGCCTAAACAAGTAAGAGATGGACTTTCAAGTCCGAGTGACACTAAAGTTTATGATATCTGCATGGTAGTAATGATTCTCAAAGTGTGGTCCCCAGAACAACAGCATCAGCATCACCTGGAAACTAATGAAAGACGCAAATTCTCTGCCCCAATCTCAGACCTACTGAATCACAATCTTTCAGGCTGAGGCCCCTCAATCTGTCTTTCAACAAGCCCTTTGGGTGATTCTGAAGCACACTAAAGGTTGTGAAACACTGTACTATTTTCTGTACACTGTACTCCTTTTCTATCAACTGCCTACTTTTGGAGACTCAGTTTAGCATATGGCAGGAGAAATAAGAACGTAGTGGTGACGGTGACTCAGTGGGTGAGACAGGGTGAAGGGCTGAGAAGTTTTCTCTCATTGTCTTCCCTTTCTCCCGTTCCCCATTCAGATTAACAATCTATGTTGGAAATGAGGAAATGCTATCAGAGATATAGGACTGGAAAAAGATTGGAGGATTCTGGTAATCTTTACATGCAGTGGTGCCTTGCCGTGTTGAGCCACTTTCATATAAATGTGACTGTTTTAAGATGTTGATGAATAGTTTACCCTTTTAATCAAAATATGGGGGGTTTTTGGGGCCAGCCCCATGGCTGAGTGGTTAAGTTCACATGCTCTGCTTTGGCAGCCCAGGGTTTCCCTGATTCAGATCCTGGGCACAGACATGGCACTGCTTATCAGGCCACAGTGAGGTGGTTTCCCACATTGCACAACCAGAAGGACCCACAACTAAAATATACAACTATGTACTGGGGGGATTTGGGGAGACAAAGCAGGAAAAAAAAAAAAGATTGGCAACAGTTGTTAGCTCAGGTGCCAATCTTTAAAAAAAAAAAAAATATGGGGAGTTTCAAGGGCCAGCCCAGTTGTGTAGTGGTTAAGTTTGTGTGCTCCACTTCAGTGGCCTGGGGTTTGCAGGTTCAGATCCCAGGACCTACATACTGCTCATCAAGCCATGCTGTGGTGGCATCTCATATACAAAATGAGAAAGATTGATACAGACGTTAGCTCAGGGACAATTTTCTTCAGCAAAAAGAGGAAGATTGGCAACAGATGTTAGCTCAGGGCTAATCTTCTGCACCAAAAAAAAAAAAAAGAAGGGAGGAGTTTGCAAAGGTTTCATTAAAAATGAATATCTCAATTGGTTCCAGGGAAATGGTTTTTTGATCAGAAGGGCTTGAGATAATTGGTGTTCAGGAAACCAAGGGTAGTTGCTTTGCTTTCTCTGATGCTAAGCTGGTTCAGATTGCTGCCATTCTGTAAAACATGGGTGCTGCTGTCCTGCTTCAGTGCCTCTCTCACTATATTTAAGGGCATGCTTATCAGAGTTGTACATTTGACTACGGGTAAATAAAAGTTAAAAGACCACTTTTGTTGGATTTATCAGAGATATTCATTAATATTTTCTGAGCAAACTGTGAAGTCTTCTCTTTAAAAGAAGTATATAAAATATACTTTGGGAACATTTAGGTCTGATGGAAATTTATCTCATGGGGAAGGGTGGGAGGGGACAGAAAAAACAATGGAGAGAAAAAAAATACAGAGAAAGAGGAAAGAAGGGGGAAGAGGTGAAAGAAAGGAGACAAGAAGGGACAAGGAGAAGAGACAAAGAAGGTAGAAAATGAGGATAGGAATGGAGGAATGAAGAAATAGAGAATGGATCAGAAAGTAGGAAAAGGAAAAAAAAGAGGTCGGGAAAAGAGAGTGAAGAGGAGAAAAGGCAGAAAAAGGACAGGTAGGCAAAGAAAAAAAACGCAAAGAAAGCAATGAATGCAGACTTCGGCGACTGAGCAATTTTTTGTGAAGTGCCACTTAGAGAAGATAGGCTGCAGAGATGCTGGCTCCGAAGGTTAATGATGGCAGTAATCATGATTTCAATTTGCAACAAATGGGATGAAAGGCAGCCAGACCCCAAAAGGAGAGACCTAGAGTGATGGCAGTGGAGTAATAAGACAGCAGCAGTCAAGGAACGCGGGGATGCTGAGAGCTTGGATTAAGTTCCCTTTTATTCAACAACCAATTTGGAAATGCTGCACAATCCACGCTTACGGAGGAAAAAGTTTGCGTATTGCAAGATCTCTGAATTGGATCCGAGGATGTTCCAGGAATACTTTTGAAGTTTGATCCTGTGATTAGCCTTGCTTTAGCACTTACTTTTGGCCAAAACTTGGTCTTTTTCACCTCCTCTCCTTCCCCATCGTCGCTGCTCAGTGGTTTGCAGTTGTCAGTGGTCGGTGCAGCTGTTTCGTTGTAAGTGCTTGCTCTCTGCAGCCCGCAAGTGGCTGCAGCATACGCATAACTAATAATTCTGTAGCCTAATTTTCAAAGAACCTTTCTCTTTATGTATGTTTATTATATGTGTCATCTTGAAAGATGACATATCAAGATTCCTTTTAATGAGTGTCCTGCCTGTGAGGGGTGAGCACCCATCTCCATTATATCTCTCCCCTTCCCACCCAGGCTACCCCCACAAAGGCCTGGGTGTTAGCAGAGAACCAGGTTTTGGAGGAGTAATGAGGAGAGAAAAATTTAGAAAGCCCAGGCGAGGAGAGTGGTAAGGATTGGAAATGGAATAGGGACAGTCTCCATGGAGTCAGAGATTTGGTGGAAGGTTGTGTGCAATACGCAGGATGGAACCCTGTAGAAATATTCTGAAAAGTCAACTAGCACTGCAAACTCTCTGAGTAAATTTTTTTGTGGATACCATAGAAGAGGCAGAGTTTCTCATCTGGGATGCGTGAGGTTGGACAAAGGTAGCATTTGAGGTGGTCAGATTTGAAGAGGTTGGAATTGACAGAAACATTTGGACACTACAGACTTCTACAGGCCATGGAATTGGGCCTGTTAGGGGGTAGGTTTGGGGAGGGATCAAAACAGTTTAGTCTGGATCCAAGGGGTACCTGTAGCTACTATGGTTTACATATGAGTGAGAACATAACACATGTTGGGCTGCGTGTACCATTTGATGCACGACCATTTGACACTTCTAAGGATGCACTGCTTTCAGATAAATTCATGACAGCAAGTCTTCTCTCCTTATTCAGATGATAGTCTCCCCGAGGACAGAAGCCTCTCTTCTCTGGCTTTTGAACATCCTGCAGTATCTAGCTTAATACTGAGCACATATCAAGTATTCAGTGAGAATGTGTGCCTGATGGATTGCCTGGGCCACTCATTGTCTCTCACCTGCACCCTCTGGCGCACATGGGATATCATTCCTTTTGAAGATGATTCGCTCAGGAGAGAGGATCACATGCACACTCAGATCACAGACAACTGGACGCAGGGACTACCTACAGACACCTGTGGTCTAGAGTCATTGGCAGTGTGGTCTTTTAGAAGGTATGAGACTTACAGTGACTTTTCTCCAATGCTAGAAATGGAGTTTCTGGATGGGCCTCAATCTATAGTCAAGGTTCAAGTCAAGCACCAGACTATAATTAAAAAATGAAGAGAAAATTGAAGCTTATTGAAATGATATAATTATAGCTGAAAAAGAAAAAAGATCCCAACTAAAAATCAAATTGAGTAAACCTTTCCGCTATACTCATCTTTGTTTAATGTGCACCTCCATTGTACGAGCATAGCTGTGCCAAAGAAAATCAAAGTCCATGTGGATACTGACAATACTCCCATCTAGGAATGACTGGTATGAAATGTACATATAATGCGGCTCTCACAGCATGGTGTATTTTCCCTCTTTCCCTCTCACTTCTCAATGCTCCTCTGAGAACAGTATGAAGATAAAGTAAAAAAGAAAGCTCTTACATTCTTAAATCCTCTGTAAAGAATCTGGAGCTCCTTCTTGGTAAATTTGCTCTGAGCTTCCAGAAGCTCAAGTGCCTCAGGCCGATGCCTGACGGTGGCCATCTCCAGTTCATCTTCCACGCTGTCTGTGGAGGAAACCCAAAAAGCATCTTAAGAACAGTCACTGCTCACTAGAGCTTACACACAGCAACACAGGAAAATGGAACAAAATGTTTCCTGGATATCTGTGATTTTCCCAGGGGAAGGATTCTCCCACTATCTTTACACTTCCCAGAGTTTATAGCATTAAGCTAAAACAATTCTGCACAATATTTTTTCATATTTTCTAGTCATTAGATATTATAATACTAGCATCTTTCCAGTACAGTTTGAAAAGTATAAAAAATCACAAACAGGCTTAAAATGTGAAATTTGTGTGTATATACCAAGTACTAGTTACAAAATTGAATTTTAGTTTAATAATAATTAGTACTACCCTTGTATCATATAACTATGAGATAAGACTCTGCTAATACTCTTTGAGGATTCCACTGAAATAAAATATTTCACCTGGGGCTGCAAACAAAATAGTCATATCAGGTGCTGAAATGAGTAAAGTCGTCAGCTGCCAGTTGGACTGGCATAAACCCAGTCTTCATGGGTGCACACTGGGTGGACAGGGGCCTCAGGGAGCTTCTGTCTGGACTCTATTTTGCAGTCAAGGGAGTCCATAGCAACAGGTAAATTCTAAAATATTTTACTTTGTTTTGTGAATTATATTTATATTATAGTTTCTGAAAGATGCTCTATGCAAAAAGAATTTGGGGTCCATATAGATTTGGGAAATGCTGTAAATGTTAACATAGTTTGGGAAAAAAAAGTAGAATATAAAGGCTTTGAGAAAACTTGCAACGAAGAATTCCGTTTTTGTTTAACCAAGTTGACGGCAAAGGGTGTTTGTCCATAGAACTCTTTCTCCCCACAGATAACATCTGGTAACATCTGCATATTTGCCCTAGTGTCATGTATAACACAAGTTGAGAGGTGTCAGGATATATTAGGACCTGGGTGTTCTGGTCTCAAAGTCCAGCATCCTTAATTAGGTTCAGCTTCTTCACAGTAGGGCCCAATGGAGACCTAAGGAATTCTTCCTGCCATAGTCTATTCCACGCCTTAGCTAAGGAACTCAAGAGGAACAGAAATATCCAGGCCGAGTACTGAAACTATGGCTTTCCTCCATCACATTCCTTCCTCTTGGCTATAGGCTCCCAACTCAGAGAGGTGAGCCTCAGGAGAACAGCTTCTTCTTACCAACTCTCTCCCTAGGACCACTAGTACTCCCAATTCAATGTCTCATTTGTCAGTCGTCATTTTGATATTTAATAATGCCTTTCACTAATATCTGTACCTACTTATTGCCCTGTCTCACTGAGCACAGTGAGGGGCCAGAGCTCCCACTTAATAGGGAAAAGAAGGTCAGTGGAACTCTATTCTTGGCCTGTCCTAATCACTGCCCTCAAGGAGTTTACAAAAGACCAATAACGGCGATGAAACAAATACTTGGGACGGTTGTGTTTGTCACAGTGAGGAAGCAGAGATAAAACCAAACGTTTCTTTCATACTTTTAATATTATAATAGTTTATTTTGGAACTGTCATATGGAAAAGCCGCAGAATAGTGGTGGATGGATAAGAATAATAGAAGAGATATGAAGGGATGGGAAGGCCAAGAATACACTCTGAGCTGACAAGAATAAAACTGATGAGAAAGTAAGCAGGGCCTGCACCTAAAGGTTGTGAAAATCGCTAAAAGTAGCTAAGAAAAGCAGCTAAGTATTAACAGCCTGGGCTTTGTGGGGAAAATCAAAAAGCCAAAATGGGGCTCCTTCAATTTCTCCTTCGTTCATTGGAATGAATGTGTTGATTCTACTCAGTGGGTCCAGAGCTGGAGAGAATGAAGGAAGATGGTGCTCCCTAAGATTGCTGTTGATCCACTGAATCGAGCTGTGTTGTAGTTACTGTAGTTACCAATGCGGAAATAAATGTCATGGAACAGATTTAATGTAAGTAAACAGTAACAAATAGAAAGGTTCTGCTTTCTTGAAAAATGTCCAATGTAAGCTTCCTTTGAATCATTTACAGTACAATTTCCTCAGCTTAAAATGTTTCCCTTTTCGTTTTCCACCTGTTGAAATGTATATCTCTTTTATGATCCAGTTCAAATATCACTTCCTCCTCTCTGAAGCCTTTCCTAACTGTCCACCATGCAGATTTGATAGTTCCCTGGTAAGAGTTCTCACACCTGACCTCTCATGTAGCATGTAAAACACATTATGATTTATTCATGTTTATCTTTTCCATTGTGAGCTCCTGGAAGACAGGAGCAATGTCTTACAGATATGTATATCCTCTGGACCTAACATAGGTTCTGATATCCCATGGTCACTCAATAAGTATTTGGTGAATGAATGAATGAATCAATAAACAAATGACGTTGCTGCTAAAGTTTCCATTCCTTTGGAGTCCCTTGAACCTCAGCTGCCCTCTAGAAAATTATTTCTCAAATTGAAGTTTGTGGCCCATTGGTGGACCTTAACTGCCTTCTTTGGAATCACTGTGTTCTCTATGTATTGTTCCAAGAAACACAGCATAGGCAAAAGTAGAGGAAATTTTAATCAGATTTCCTGAATAGTCTTTCAATCATAGCATAACCTCCTCCAGACCTAGTGACCTTTCTGTTGGAAAGAAAGAAAACATCGCATTAACTTCTCAGCCTTTGTGACCACACAGCAGTCTGAACCACACTACCAACATAGCTTCTTCCTCCAGCTGTCTCATACTTGCAGATGCTGAGACTGAGACAGAGACGCAGGGCTGGAGGGTCAGTGTAATTGAATTACGTGTGTGTGATAGGATGAGCATCACATGCAATATTCAAAGCACCACACTTGAAGTGTCTGCCTGAGGACTCTTGTTTTCCCAGCTGGCTTGTACCTTACTTCTTAATGACTCGTACCTGCCAAAGGGCTGTTTCTATTTCTAGGAGGATGACAGGCTCTAAAAACACACCTGAAATCATCAGCAATCACTAGCATATGATAAGTTAAAAAAGCAACACCACCTAAGCCAATCAAGACTGATTCCTGGAGGCAAACTCTGTGGAGAGCACAGCATGAATCTGCACAGAACTGTGAAATTCATGAGGTGACTCAGGCCCCATGGATAGATGTGCCCGGCGCCTCAAGACGATCACTATGATGGCGGTGGATGCTGTGCTGATTTAGAAACACGGAGAAAAAGATGCGGAAGCCATGAGATCTCAGAGCTGGAAAGAACACCAAAGGGTTGCTTTTTCACATTTTACCACTGAGAAATTTAGGGTCAGGGAAGCTAAGAGGTTTGTCTGGGCTTAAAAGCAGAACCAGGTGGGACTCTAGCCCACCTGGCCTCTGAATCGTCTCTGGGCCTCTGCCAAGGTAAGACAATGCGGAGTCCTGCTGACTTGCTCACTCTGGGGCTGCTTTGCATCCTGAGACAAGCTGAATACAAATAGGGTGGTATTTTAATTTATGTTTCTTCTAACAGATTTAATTTTAATCAGACAACAAATTCTCAAACCTAGACAGCCTTGAGCTTCCTGGCCGTCTCCTTTTTGTTCTTTGTTCGTTAGATTTAAGTGTCTCAGGGCCAAGGCTGTCCTATGTCTGAGTCAACAGTCCCCTGAAGCTGTGACACAGTTGGGCTAGAAATTGGAATTCAAATCACTTGGGAACAACAGAATGAGTTTTAAAAATAGGCATCTTTCTCCCCTTTCTCACAGCTTTTCTTAAAATCCAGTAGAAGCTTATTACAGCTGGACTCGTAATTATGCAAATTTGACTTTATCCGAGGTCAAACCATCCCCTCCAGAACTTAACTACAGAACGTCTTGCTTTACAAACAACTATGAGTGCGAGGCCGGCCTTCCTAATACACCTGTTTGTAAACAAGGTCTGTAATGCTGAAATAAAACCATTTTACAAAGAACAATGTTATTCCATTCTAGAAGTGGGTTCAGAACCCAGGCTGGGCACACAGAGATGAGTCCTTGCCTTGTCATAGCAGGGAACACTGTGGGGCTGTTGCCACATTCTTTTCCTCAGGACCTGCCAGAATACTGGCTAGCCTGGTGCAACAGCATCTAGTTTGGCATACTAAAAATGCTCAATAAAAAATGTGAAATCAATGAATAACTATTTGAAGCATCCCAAGCATAGTGGATATCTCTACAGGAGGTCCATTTCTCAATACAGCATGACCTTTCTTTAAAAAACGTATCCATTTTTCATTATAAAAAGATCCATAAACACTATAATTTTAAAATTCTATTTGAGCTGAAATTGATTTGTCTAGCCAAAGATTCAGCCAACTTGACTTATATTGCTTTATCTCATTTATAAAAATACTTTGCGCCCTTACTCCTAATGTTTACTCTTAATGAAATTGGTTTAATAGTGACTTGATCCGTATGGCAATAACATTATGATGAGGATGAATACCTTCTAATGATGCATATTATTAAATATTTAGAAGCTTGGTCCAGTGGTAGGTATTGGAAGAGAATCTGACTAATTTTGCTCCAGATTTTAGCATCACACTAAGCAATGCTCGAAGATTCTTCTTCTTCTCTTTTTTTTTTTGAGGAAGATTAGCCCTGAGCTAACATCTGCTGCCAATCTTCCTCTTTTTTTCTGGGGAAGACTGGCCCTGAGCTAACACCCATGCCCATCTTCCTCTACTTTATATGTGGGACGCCTGCCACAGAATGGCTGGAAAAGCCGTGCTTAGGTCCACACCCAGGATCTGAATCGGCGAAGCCCGGGATGCTGAAGCAGAACGTGCTAACTTAACCGCTGCACCACTGGGCCAGCCCAATGCTGCAAGATTCTTGACTGTATCTTTGGAAACTACTCCTGAAAACTTCTAGAATAAGGAGGAGATGTTATTTGTTGTTTAATGTTTTAGTCTGATACATCAGGGCCAAGATAAAGCTGCTTGGGGGAAGATTTCCAAAACTATTTTTGATGGCACCAACGTGAGGTGATTTCTTTCTTCCCTTCTTTTCTACTTTAAAAACTTGTATGGGCACGGATAAGATGCCATATACT